TAATTATTATTAGTTAAAAATAAATGTATTTTATAACTATTTATGTTAAATACTTACCATGATCTGAAGCATTTTTTGCTTTCAATTCTAACATTCTAACAATTGATTCTAAACTCTCTATTTTACTTTGATAATCTTTTTTCTCATCTTCAATATAATCTTCCATTTCCAAAAGTTTCTAAAAACAGGATAACAATCAATATTTTACTTTTTAGATGTCAGGTGTATCTAAAAATATTAGGTTAGTGGGCGAACAATTTTAATCTTAACAAACCCATTTTTTTTCATATTATATTTATTGTATTAAAATCAGTTTTAAAAATCTCAATGTGTGCATAGTCAGTTATTCACTTTTGTTGTAAGTAACTTAAAGTCTATAGGTATCATATATTATTAAAGATATTATGCATAATTGGAATAGAAAGGAAGATATGCATAAATATTTAGATGTATTGAATCAAAACTATGAATACAAGAAGAATTTTTGATGGGATGGAAAACATCAAATTTTTGCAGGCCTTTAAAGGATGTTAAAACGGTTTGAAATTTGGGTAATAGGTATTTTACAAGACAAATAAATTAGGTAAATTTCATTAAAAAAATTGAATATTTTGTCACATTTTATATCATTGTAAAAATGATTTATTAACAGACTAGACAACAGCTAGACAAGCTTAAACAAATACAAATTATAACATAAAATAACTCAATAATAAATGTATAATAAAGAACCAACATTAGTAATTTAAAAATATCTATATTTGTCTAATATATTCTAGTTGTCTATGATAAAATCAATAAACAACAACTTTACAGTTGTCAATGTCAAATAGTCAAGTTATTTGTGAACATTCTAAAAGGTAAGTAATTTTGCTATCCTTCAAAAGGTCATGTATCACCAGTCCATTATCTTAAACAATGTTAATTGAACTCTGTACATATTTATGAATTCAAATTCGAGCCAAACTATACTTATTTGCATTATATAGTTAAGTTATAATTTTAATAGGTATGAATAAAATAAAAAAAAATTAAATGAAATACCAAATAAATACAATATAGTTTATAAGAATGAGGGTTTACACTCAAATAACCTTATTCCTAGATTCAAATTGACTGGTATAAATATATTTAGATATTTAAATGATATTTATGAAATAATTAAACCCATACCTGTTCTGCAGATTTCCGTAGTTGTTTTTCTCTTTCATACTGAGTAACTAATTGTTCATTGTCTTCTCTTAAAAGTTCAACTTCTACCTCGTGTTCTTGATTTTCTGTATGAGAAAGATCTAAGCATTCCAGTACGTTAACAACTAATGGCATCAAGTTTTTCACAACTTCTTCGTCATATTTGGATATCATTTTTTCAAATTCCTGATAAATACTACCAGCTAGTGATTGTACTTTCTCAGACATAACGACATGGGTGTCGTCTTGAGTCCCGTACACTACTTCTTGAGCCATTTAGTGTGAATATTGTTAAATTATTCAAAAGTCTAAATACCAATTGAAGAAAATTTATTTTACATAAATATAGATATAATAGTCATTTGATGACACATAAGTATTCAACATTGTAGAATGTATTATATTATGTACATTATTGATACATACAAAAATTAATTAAAAAGTTTAAAACATTAAATTTGTTTTTTAAAAACTACTAGGCACCTTGCTAATAGCCATAAAAATACAAGATCACTATAAAAGTTACAATACTTTAAAACTAATTAAGAGTGCAAACTACTGAAACTGAATATATTTCATCCAATATAGCAAGTTGTACTGTTGTAGTATGGACTCGGGGTTAATTGATTACAACTCATTGATAATGGCGTTGCAAATAATAAACAGATGCTAACAGTGTTGCCGAATATCTGATTTGGCAATGAAGAAAAATTACGCAGTTTAATAGCTACCACAGCGACAGCGCTACTGTTGACCGTACTACCGTAGAGACTAGAGATGTTGTAATTAACTAATAACTATATAGTAACTTGTAAGTTGCAAATTTTTAATTTGCCATCTTTTTTCAGAGATCAAGGTAAATCAATGTTTTAAAAATTATTATGCCAATAAAAAATTTGCATTTGCACAAATCACGCTACACACTACGAATATAAGTTATAACTTATAAATAGAGAGTGCCGAGTGGTATAAACATTTCAAGACGAAACAATCATGTAATATTCCCGAACCGAATTTTCTTCATAATCCGACACTGTAGGTACCTACTTTCCAAGCATAAATCATACCTAATTGACACATCTCAAATAACCCTTACTCTAGAACTACAACAATTATCTAACTTAATTAACGATTATAATTTTATTATAAATAAACGCTAATAATCGTACACGAACACTAGGTAACATAATATAATAAAAATTAAAATACTACTGTATGATCATTGACAGTTATGGCGCCTAAGGGTTAAATACTTAAGTATAAAATAGTAGCAAGCAGCATTGCAAGTGCCAGGGAGTGAAAAATAGTATTTTTTAAATATGTAAAAACAATCGTTTCATTCGTTCAAAACGTTATTTTTTATGTTTTGTTTCAAATGTAATATATAGGTACGATATAAAGTAGATACCCCCTAACATTGTTATATTAGGTACCTACACAAAAATAGTATACACCATGATTTTCTGATTTTTAGAAAAAATTTTATTTAAAAAAAAAAATTATTATACAATTTAATGTTTTTTTTTATTTTTTTTTAACGTTTATGTAGATATACAATTAAGCAAAATCAATTGTTTAAATTACATACCAACCCTGATTGACACAACTAGTTACTATAGAAGTATAGAACATAGACGTGCGATGTGGTGTGTAGTAACATCCCTAAACGGTTCTTTACGTACAACGCTTTTAGATTCGAAATGGAGCTTATCATTAAGTATCTATAATTTATGATACACTGTGATGGGCAGTATCTTTAACTGATATATAATACAAGTACCTATATTTGTTATACCTAATTATATAGTACCTATCTTATATCGTATATAATAGATATAGAAATTTTTTTTTACTTATATCTATTATATCTTTTTATGATTAAGATTTAAGATACAAGTTGCATTAAAAAATATTAGGAATTTTAATTTTAATCTCTCCAAAGTGCAAATTTGATCCAATTTTCTATCCAAAACACTATTCTCAAAATTGAATAGAATTTAATTCACTATTTAACGTGTTTACAGACACACACACAAACATATCCTTGTAATATCAATATATTCATTGTTTTCCTCAAAATATAAAAGTTTGGTGATATAAAATATGTTAGGCTCTGCATATATAGATAATCATTACACATTTTAAAAGTCATATGGAGAAAACCTTTATGAATTGTTATATGTTAAGCTAAGTAGTGACTGATGATGTCCAACCAGTCAGATATTTCAAATATTGATACATTTTTTACCTTCTACACTAATTATATTGTATGAAATTAAAATACAGAAAAATGAAAGAAAAGACTTTCAAATTTTTGGTTTTTATTACTTAGAACAACCTCATTTTTTCTTATTCTTTTTTGTTTAATGGTTTTCTACTCATTTTAAATATTATACATATCAGGTATGTAAAAAATAATAATTATAATAATACAGGTAACAATTATCAACAACCAACAGGCATCAAGTGAAAAATACAAAATACATTATGTCATAAAGTAAAAGTAATTATTACTAAATAAAAACATGAAGATTTTTAATAAAAAATATTTTAATAGCAATTACAGTAAGGAATAAAAATAGTAAATAATAAACTTTAAAAGTATACAATATAACTAAAAATAAATCACCTCAATAATACAATAAGTTAATGAAACAAAATGTATATTGACCTTTATAGCAACTTATAAACTATACATAAAATTAAACAAAAAATATAAACAGGTAATTATATTTTAAAAATAGTAAATAACTAATAAATAGTTAAGTTTCTTAAAATTATTTTGCTGATTTTTTTTTAAACAAATAAAGATTAATAATTTAAATACATTTGTCTAGTTTATTATAATTCACTATAGGTACAAGAAATTATGAATAAAATGGGATTTTTTCAAATATATTCTTAACAACATGAATATATTCTCTGATATTGTATTAATTTGTATAGTTACGTATAATTATGTATAATATAGGGTTTTTTTGACAGTTGATGGTGTACATTTTTAATTATGAATTAATGATAGAATTTAAAAATAATATTTACTGTTTACTGTATTTATTATACACGGAGACCGCCTGATTCCTTGCGAGAAGTCAGTTGTGCATGGGATTGACTTTCATGTAGTCTCCCCTGTTAAGGATTAAAATCTAAATTAACAAACCCTACCAAGCTACAATGACGGATTTGATCTACTACAGTCCTCAGGAGTGGCCTTGCGATGCTTGTCTAGTGCGGAGACCTATCAGACCAACCATTAGCTAGCCTAAGGAGCCAAAATTATTAGAAAGTTCCGACTTGGATTGATTGAATGACATCAACTTTAAAACCAGCCAATATCACAGGAGAGGAGAGCCCTATTCACTCGGCTGGGTTAAAATGCCTTTCAAGGCTGAGGAGCCTACCTCGACTGAAACATGGTGGTTGTGGGACCAGTACTAAGTAGAAATAAACTTAATGGGAGGAAGTTCCTAAGGGGCAAGCAGACCAAACTTAAAAAGACATGAGTCTATAACTCGGTTCTGGTTATGATAACCTAGATTTGACTGGTTAAGTCTGAACCTCTGCAGCTCATAACTAACTCATATGAGTTAATACATGATCCGCAGTTGTAAGGCCCAGGCCCAAAACTCAATGTATTTATTATATATACAACATTAAATAATAATTATATAAAACATCCATTGTTTTCCAAGTTCTAAGCTTAAAAAGTATTTTTTACTAACACAATATTTGTCTTTATACTTTATAATATTAAAATCTTTAAATTTATGTATTATTTTAAATAATTAATTCAAATTTAATTTCAGTCATAATAACATTATACTTACAGAATAAGTAAAAACTATAATTTAAAAACACATTGATACATTAACTTCTAATGGTTATAAAAACATATTTTTTTTTCTTCAAAAATGTAGAATTTATATTTAACTTAGGAACACAAATTGAGTGGATCAAGATTAAATATCAGATAATTAAGGTTTACTGGATGTAGCAGCTAACATTTGACTTATCATTTCACGAACTCTTTGTTGTTCTTGTAGTTGTTTACGCAAATCAATAATATCTTTATCTTTTTCTAAACTAATATTTTCTAGATTTTTAATAAATGATATTTTGTTGTTGATTTCCTATTAAATATGTTAAAATATAAAACGTCAATCAATAAAATATTAAATAGGTATGTTAAAATATTGATTTTATTTTAATATTTTAATTAATAACCAAGAAGTAGATATAACAGCTTAATAAACTTACCTCTGTTTTTTCATTGACGATACTTTGTTTTTCCATTAATTGTTGTTCTAATTTTGAAACTTGAATTTTATTTTCTAGAATAATAGTAATTAAAATTGTATAATTATGTATGTTAAAACTTATACATTCATAAATTTATAGTATAACTTTAATTTTTACCAGCTTTTTCATTTTTTAATTGGTTTAGTAAATCAGCTTTCATTTCATCACTTTCTAAACGTAGCTCTTCTAATTGTTTTTCAAGGTTTTTTATTGAAGTATTTTGTTCTTGAATAATTTGACGTTTTGATTCATAATTTTGAGATAGCTAAGACAATACAATATATTTATACTATTAAATATTCTTATTAATTATTTTAATTTGTATAAAATTAATTAGTTACTTTTGCAAAGTTATTACTAGTTGTAGCAAATTGTTCTGTAATATCATTTAATTTTTTTTTTAAATTTTCATTTTCTGTTGTTAACTCCTCAATTTCTTTGTGATCATCTAATAACATTTGATTTAGTTGCATTGATTCACTATTTAAACAAACTATTTTATAATTTAATCGTGTTATTTCTTCAGAGGCATTATCAAGACTTTGTTTTAACCATACTTCAGTTTGTTTTAATGTATTCATTTTATACTGATATAACATAATAACATTACTCGATTTTATACTAAGTATCTAAAAAAATATATTTAATTTAATTACTATTGAAACAAATAGAATTACAAAAATAATATTAAAATAAAAATATAATTGTTTTGTTTACTTCATTAGAATTAAATATATTTTCTAATTTATCAATAAACATTTGTATTTGTTCTTCTTGAGCAAATGTACACATAGGTTTTATTGCAGTCTCCACTGAGTTTTCAGTTAGAATTTTCACTTTAGCTAAAGATAATTGTTCAATTTCTTCCAAACAATCAGATAACATTAAAGTACTAAACATAAATTAAAATATAATTAAAATAAATATTAATTAGGATTATAAATAATGTGTTACCTTTGTTGTGAAAATTTAGTAATGAGATCTAATACTTTTTGTTTCATATTTTTTGAACCTCTATAAATTATAAATGCAAGCACACGATAAACATGTTTCTGATTCAATATTTCAGAATATAAAGACATCCAAGTAGGATTCTTAGCAACTAATTCAGATAGAAAACATAGAGCTTCAATATATACAAATGTGACATTTTGTAGATCATTTAAATTGTTAATATCAATCAATATCAGAGAATGAAATAAAGACTGAAGAGACTATAAAATAAAAGTTAGTATTAAATTATAAAATAAAAAATTTCAAAAATGTTTCATACAGAAATATTAAGGTTTTCATCAATTATTTCATATAGTTGTTGTATCTTTAACATTTCTTGAAGAAATCTTAAGCATATTGCATGTTTATTCCATATACATATATTAGAATCATTTTCCACATTTTTATTTGGTTCAAATAATATCATTAGCAACACCTGAAAGATAAAACTACTATGATTAAATTTTTAGTAGATAACTTTAGTAATAGTCTGAGAAATTTTTCTTTTTAATATGTTAATAATTATTAACATCAAAGAATGTATCTTATCATTCGATTTTTTTTTTATTAATTTTAAAGCACATATATAAATAGTAACTAAAAGTTAAATTCAATAGATCATTCAATGTATTAATTGTTTTTTTTTTTTTTTTAAATTAAACTATGATATCTTAATTAAAATATTTAGTTCAAAATTTTTTGTTATGGAACAGTAACATCAATTAGATATAAATATAATTAGTTAAATAATTAATTTTCAATACTTTTTTGTTAAAAATTTAATTAAATTATTTTATTACATATATAAACTATTAGACTTACATATAAACACTTTTCTAAATTTTCATAAATATCACATTGAAGGGTTTGATCCATATAACTATTATAACTTCGCACATTAATAGTTATAGTTTGTAAAATTGATATTGATTGTTCGTGAAGATTTGAAAATTGAGTCCAATGTAAAATATACATTATTATTTTAGGATACAATATGATTAAATCTTCATTTTTGAATTGAACAACATGATGGATAAATTGCAAAAGTAAGTCCACGCTTTGTAATATTATGTGATAATTGTTATGAGTTTTCTCAATACATTTAAAATTATTCATAGATTCCAATATTTTAATTAAATTTGTTTTATAGCTAAAAAATTAATACATAAAATTAAGTTATAAAATTGAATATAAATTATAATTAAAAATAAACATACCCTTCATATTCTAAAACAGAATTTTTCCAACGTGAATGTTCACTAATATCAATAAAAAAGTCAACTGCATGACGTAGAACAAACACATTTTTTAATTTAAGTCCTTCTTCCAAAACAACAAATGTTACATCAATTAAATTATTAACATCAACTTGCGGTATCTGACCAGATACATGTTCTAAAATTAATAATAATTTATACACTTGAACTTTGATAAATATGTCATCAGATTGTAGTTTTAAAAGAAGACGCATGAAGGATTTAGAATGTGTACATTTCACAAGAGTAAACATAGCAAATTTGTTTTTACAACACACATTTACTAAAACTCCTAGGCTTAAGGATATAAGATCTTTGTCTTCAGTTGATATCCATTTAATCAACAGAGTAATTAATTCAGATGAATGGCTTTCCTGCCATTGTAGTTTCATTTTATATGTTAATTCCTAAAAATACATATTAGTTTTATTTTTGTTCAAGTAAATTATACATATAAGCAGGGCTCAGTGTCATAGTATTTTAAGTTAAATTTTAGTAATTTAAATGTTTTTTGTAATTCATTACAAATTTGTTAAATATGAAAATTTTTTTATTTTACTATAGGTATTATACTTTATTTTAATGTTCTAAAATTTAGAAAATAAAAAGTATCCAATAAACTTATAGACTCTGCTTATAAGTTAAAATATAAAATTTTATAAATAAATTATAATTTACCTGAAGTAGTTTGAGTATTTTGATTTTTTTATCTAATGCCAATTCATCTTTTAGTAATTTTGTTAAAATTAGTGTTAATCCATTACTGTTTAATATTGTGCTATGAAAAAATCCTTGTTTTACAATAGACTGCAAAAAATTAACAGCCGCCCACATAATCTCAGAATCATCATTTGTATTCCTCATCAGTTCATATAAGTTGATAAAAAACTCATGTCTTAATGTATCTTTAGAATTTAGAGTAAATTCATTTGATAACTGTCCAAGGATCTAAAAAATAATGATACACAAACAATAATTAATAATTTATATTTAGTTTAAACATATTATACTAAATAATCAGAAATAAAAATAATTATCACATATAATTAAATATGATATGCTACTAATATATAATTTTAATAATATTTATTGTTAGAATAATACAATTAACTTGATGCCTGGAAATATGCACAAAAAATATTTAAAATATTATGAGATATAGAAATTATGTTACTTAGTAAAATTCTAATGAATCAGTAATATATGACAAATAGTAAATAATACCATTGATTTATAATCAATGATAATACTAGTAAAAATAATAGGTGTAAGTAAATTTCTTATAAGGAAATACATCATACATTAGAATTACTATGCTAGTTTTAGCAGTTAGCATATAAATATAGGCACATGAATAAAACTTAATTTTGTTTATGTTACTCTATTAATACATTTAATTTGAAGTACATACTTGTAATGAACATAGAACTCCATTTAAAGATGATTCATCATGGCAATATGAATATTGTTTAGCAGCTATAATAAAATTCTTCAAATGGTTATGAAATGATGGTGATATTAAATGGTCCATTTTTGAAGAATATTAATTTAACACCTAAAAAATATTTAATTTAAGACCTAATACATAAGCGATAAGCAAAATTAATCTAATCACAAAATATTATAAAATAATCTAAGAACAAATAACAAATTCTTACTTAATGAATAAATTCAAAATAAAATTAAAAATCGAAATAGGTTATAATCTGTTTTAGTTTTTAGTAACTTTAGATACATTTAAATTCAAATTAACTGAAATTAATGATTGTTTAAACGTCAATAAGAATAAATTGTTAAAAAATTAATACTTGAGTAAGTGATTAAATGAATACTTACAATAATTACTTATTTATCTATGAAATGATTTAATAAATTAATAAATTACTATTAACGTTTATGTTTATTATTTAATCTTTATTTTCTAATCACTAAGTCCATTTTTTAATAGTAAGTTTTGTTTATTTTCCGTTAAATTCTTAGTGATAAAACCACATACAACTTACACTAAAAAATATATAGTCTACAATCATAGTAGGTAGTTCGTGGATAAAACAATAACAATAAAAACATCATAAAAAAAAGATTTAACCATTATCATGGAAGAAATATGTTATATACGTTCTGCTTGGTATGAATATTACATGCATTTTTATCACTATTTAATATTTTCTACTTCTTTTTATAGTCGCTAACATTAAACATTAAATACTTATTTATGTTCTACGGATTAGTGATGTACTGATGTCAAAAATTCGAATTTTTGTGTATTCGAAATATTCGGATATCCGTATCTAAAATTTAAGAACCGTATTATTCGAATAATTCAAATTATTTAGAGATGTACAATTTACGTCAAACTATTATTTTTAAATTAAAATTTTTACTAACTTAAATAAAACACAGTCTAAAACCTATAAATTACATAACAAATATTTATATTTTTAATAATTAAGCAATAAATTCAAAATATCAGGATTATAATACTCGGATTTTATCCGTCATATTCGAAATCGAATTATCCGAATAATATTGGAATCCGGATATTACTGACACAATTACTACGGATAAAATTATAAATAAATGAATCATTTAGGTATTCTGTTAAAGCCATCCTAAGATCTAAGAATATGATATTTACCACCTGATAGCGAGAGATTTAAAATAATACTGGAAGAAATTCGAAACATAAACATACAGTTTTTATGCTAAAAAGACTTGTTTTCATTCCAACATATTTTTAACTGATTCAATTTCTAATTATGCAATATTAACTTTTAAAACAAATGTACTTATTAAATTTTACTTTAATATTTAAAAATATTGTGTACATTTTTTTTATCCAATAAATAATTATGAGTTTTTTGATAAATTAATGGTAAAAATGTTCATAGAGTTATTTAAGTAAATATATTATGATCAAATCCATTTTAAATGTCAATTTTCATAAAATATTTATTTTTTGTAACTAAAACTTAAAAACGTATAATATTTTTCAACTTAATGCTTCTGATTTATGTAGAATTTTGCTTAACTTTATTTTAATTTTTAGTAAAAAAGTTAACAATTTTTTAAGTCTTGGTGAAAAAATTAGAAATTGAATATGAATTAAATTTTAAAATGCTTATGAAATAAATTTTGTATCAGTATTTTTGAATAACTTTTAGAACACTGAAAAATTTAAAACAAATATTTTTACTGAGAAACAAAATTTTTATTATATATGAATCAAAAAATTTCAAAATTTTAATTAGCATCTTTAAATAGGACAAAAATTAGTAAAATATTTTGAAAATTATAAAAATGTTTAATAGATGATATCATGAATATTTGGAAAAATATTTAAGTTTCTACTATTATAAATTTTGAATAAAAATAAAAATATGCAGTTGATTTCGTCAAAAATTAATTCTATACAAAAAAATTTTATTTTTTGAATTATTTAAAGAAGTATCATATATTTTTTATTTTTAACCCCCTCAAAGTATGTTCAATTTGTTACCAGAAATTATCTTCAATTTTTAAAATATAAGAGGTATAGTAAACATTTTGTTCATTAAACCATAAATTATGTTTGATTATCAAAGTTTTTATAACAATATAAGCGTCTTAATTAATTCTGCAATTTATTGAAATATTTATTTTAAAGTAATACATTATACAAAATGTTCAGTCTTATCATAAAAAAATCATATTTCATACATAACATAATTAATTATCGAATATATAAGAAGATACATAATTAATTGAAAACTATTATTGAATTCTCTTATTAATACATAATTAAATAATATTTTTTTAGTATTAAAAATAGTTTTCACTAAGTATTTTATTTAATTTAGTCTTCTCTCAACACTAGCAACTCTTCGTGTGTTATGTGTATTCTTAATTCTTTTTCAACTAATATGTCACATATGTTTGACAGCTCTTCTGGAAGGTAAAATGCAGCTTCCATGTATAAAAACTGTAAACACATATCATTTAGTTAACAATACATACTTTAACATTTAATAACATTAAAAATTTAATAAACCTTATGCCATGGACAGTTTTCAACAGCTTCGTAATAACATTTTTTATAATCCGATGGTGAAGTTTCAGAAATATAATGTAAATAAAGTCGCCAAAACATTGGACACTTTTTCATTCCTATAATAGTGCTAAGATTTCTTATGAAATAGTCAAACAAATTACGCATGTTTTTGCACACATCTAAAATATTTCCACCTCCTATAAAAATAGTTTTAAATAACAATTAAAATATAAATATAAGTATAATTATATTTAAGTTGGTTTATAAAATATAAATAGTAAAACATTGCAATTTAATACATTTTTAAATTGAAAATATACAAAAATATTTAAAAATTTTGAATATATTCAAAGTAGGTACTTTTATTTTCTACAGAAATGTTGTGAGTTTTTTTTAATTTTTATAAAACACAAAAATACTTTGTTACACGTATTATAGTTTAAAAATAATTTAATTTCAGTTCATAGGATTTTAAATAACACCATAAAACTCACATTATAAATAAAATTAATAACCATATAATATTGAGTTAAAAATCAATTAAATTCAATATATCTCAAGTACAAAATGGGCATATTATTTAAAAAACATGGTATGTTAGATATAAAGTAAATTAAAAAATTTTACCAAATATACTCATGGAACTTTTATTATCACTTAAATGTTTTCTTGCTACATCGCTTGCTATTCTCAATCGTTCTCTACCAACTAGAATCAACATTAATCTAACAGTTTCCATATTTTCAGCAACAATATTATCAACATAAACATTTTCAATTTGCCATAGTGGTGTTCCAAAACCTCCATATTTAGTCTGTAAAATATAAATAAACAACTTTTATTGATAGCAGAGAACAAATGTAAAGAATATTTAAAGTTTAAGGGCGTCATAAAAATTTGATTGAAAACAATTTTATAATAATAATAATACAATAAAAATTTGATATTAAGTCTTTAAACACATTTCCATATTAATTTTAATAATAGGTTATAAGATTTTAGTGGCATAATTATATAGCTACATATTTAATTGAAATATTAAATGCATTCTAAAGATGTATAATTTCCAGCTAATAATATTTTTAACAACTAATAACTTTGGTAATATTGTGCACCACGAGAGGAATCATTATCATATATCACACAAATGATTAAAAAAATTTTAAATCCACATAATCATTAAAGTAACAATATATATAGAATATTTTTCTTTAGAATACAATATATATATTATATAATTATTATTTATTACCTCATTCCAGACCATTGAAAATAAAAATTGCATATTGTGAGAGTACTTTGATATAGCATTTCGTAAACACATTTTTAATTCTTTATGATAAGTTTTTGATTTGTTACAATGATAATTTAAAATAACAATTGTAGTTTCAGTTAAGATTTCTTCAGCAGCACTTTAACAATTTCAAATTTATTACTGAATAATTAAACTTAAGTATAACATATTAAAATTGTCTTACTGGTTTTTTTGATAGTTTTCTGTGGAAATTATATCATTAATTTTTTTTATTACATCTTTTAGCATAGATACAGAAGTTTGTACATTTTGAGTCAAATATAAAAACCAAGCACGACAAATAACCCATTCAATTAGAAATTGTGGTAAATAATTATACTTTAAATCACAGTACGCAAATTGTTCTTTATCATTTAAAATGCTTTCTGTAACATTATCAAATACAAGCATTGCTTCTTCTATTAAATTTAAACTTGCATGTTCTGGTAATACTCCAGTTGCAAGAGCTATAAGTGTTTGTAAAGCTTTCTCTCTAAATTCAATACAATTATTGTTAGAAATGACAAACAATTTATATAGATGTAGAAAAGATATCACTTACTTGCATTCAGATTGAATCAATATTTCAACAATATTCTTATAAATTGCTGTGTATGGTGCTCGATAAGTGTTGTTTAAAAAAACTGGTTTATTATCCAACAAAACAGACTGACCATCAATTAGTTTTTGTAAAATTTTTAAAGCATCATCTTTTTTGCCTACTTGATTTTTGAGTAATGCAAATTCAATGAACAGGGGAATATTATTTCTGTAATATAAAAATTAAAAAAAACTTTTTTTAATATGTAAAGTTACTTTAATTGAATAAAATATTACCTGTAATGAGGTTTTCCAAGCAACAACTTAACCTCAGACACCAAACGACTATTATCAGAGCTAAAATTTACAATCATACAATATCTTTCAAATCTTAACCACCATACTAAAAACATATTAGCTTCATCAATATAATTCATAGTATACAAGCAATCGGTTATATGTCTTAAAATAGTAGTTAAGAAACGAGAATATGTTTGGCTGGAAATAGATTCATCATAATAATTAGGTGGCATTGCTGTATTGAGCATTACCAACAATGCATTACTTGCTTTCTTTTCACTAAAGTTTGCTGAGAAAAGATGTGAATATTAATACATGATGATTATAGCAAGGATTACAGTGATTAAGCACACATAATATAAACATTAACTTACAATCTTCAAAATGACGAGCCATAAATAGGCTGCTGAGAACAATTTCAAGACTATCTAAGTAATAATGACATTTATGAATGCCTAATTGGTGTGCAACAAAATGGCGAAAAGGTAAAATGGGCATTTTTAGTAAAATAAAGCAGGCAGTAACTAGATTTGCA